AAAAAAAAAAAAAAACCAAAAAACCCAGAGCCCCCCAGAGCCCCAAAATTCCAGGATTTTGGGGGGAATTCCCGGGATTTACCTGTGGTGTCCTGTTTGGTGACAAAGGACTCGGTGGGGGCCGGGGCCGCCGGGCGGGGCAACCTCCGGGCGATGCAGATCAGACACGACTGGAAATCTGGGAAAAAACACCGGGAATTTCGGGGAATTTCGGGAATTTTCCCAGGAATTCCGGATTGGGGAGGTTTTGTGGGATTGTGGGTGGAGTTGGGGAAATAAAATGCCAGGTTTTGTGGGAATTGTGGGATTCGTGCTGGGAATGGGGTGGGAAAAGATGGATGGGACAGGGATTGGGGGAAGATCCAGGGCTGGATGGAATCCCAACTCCAGGCTGGCATCCCAATCCCAAATCCCAAATCCCAAACCCAAATCCCAAAACCCAAACCCAATCCTAATCCTACACTGCAATCCTAACCCAAATCCCAAACCCAATCCCAAACCCCAAACCCAATCCCAATGTTAATCCTACATTGCAATCCTAACCCAAATCCAAACCCAACCCCAATCCCAAATCCCAATCCCAATCCCAAATCCCAATCCCAAATTCCAATCCCAATCCCAATGCTAATCCTACACTGCAATCCTAATCTAAATCCCAAACTCAATCCCAATCTCAATCCTAGTATAAATCTGATTCCAAATTTCACTCTCCCATCCCATTCCAATTCTGCACTGCCATCCCAATCTCAATCCCAAATCCCAATCCCGAATCCTAATCCCAAATAACAATCCAAATCCCAATCCCACACTTCAATCCTAATCCAAATTCCCAATCCCAGTTCCCAATCCCAAATCCCAATCTCATTCCCAATCCTTCACTTCCATCCTAATCCAAATTCCCAATCCCAATTCCCAATATCAATCCCAATTCCAAAGCCAATCCAGCTCCATCCAATCCCAATCCCAATCCCAATCCCAAACAAAATCCTGCTTCTGCTCTCCCATCCCATTCCATCCCACCCCAATCCTGCACTGCCATCCCAATCCCAATCCCAACCCCAACCCCACAAATCCCAATCCCACAAATCCCGGATCTCACCTTCCCCCTTCACCTGGAATGCTCTGGGCTGGCTCACAGCGCTCAATCCCAATCCCAACCCCACAAATCCCAATCCCAGCCCCACAGATCCCAGGATATCTCTCACCTTCCCCCTCCTCCTGGAATGCCTCTGACTATTTCACAGTGCTCAATCCCAATCCCAACCCCATTCCCAATCCCACAAATCCCAATCCCAACCCCACAAATCCCAATCCCAACTCCACAAATCCCAATCCCAACTCCACAAATCACAATCCCAACCCCACAAACCCCATTCCCCACCCCACAAACCCCATTCCCAGCCCCCCAAATCCTGTCTCTCACCTTCCCCCTCCTCCTGGAATGCTCTGGGCTGGCTCACAGTGCTCAACCCCATTCCCAATCCCACAAATCCCAATCCCAATTCCACAAACCCCATTCCCAGCCCCACAAATCCCGGATCTCACCTTCCCCCTCCTCCTGGAATGCTCTGGGCTGGCTCACAGTGCTCAATCCCAATCCCAACCCCACAAATTTCGATCCCAACTCCACAAATCCCAATCCCAACCCCACAAACCCCAATCCCAATCCCACAAACCCCATTCCCAGCCCCACAAATCCCGGGATCTCACCTTCCCCCTCCTCCTGGAAGGCTCTGGGCTGGCTCACAGTGCTCAACCCCATTCCCAATCCCACAAATCCCAATCCCAATTCCACAAATCCCAATCCCAGCCCCCCAAATCCCAGTATGTCTCTCACTTTCCCCCTCCTCCTGGAATGCCTCTGACTATTTCACAGTGCTCAATCCCAATCTCAACCCCATTCCCAATCCCACAAATCCCAATCCCAACTCCACAAATTTCGATCCCAACCCCACAAACCCCATTCCCAGCCCCACAAATCCCGGGATCTCACCTTCCCCCTACTCCTGGAAGGCTCCGGGCTGGCTCACAGTGCTCAATCCCAATCCCAACCCCATTCCCAATCCCACAAATCCCAATCCCAACCCCACAAATCCCATTCCCAGCCCCCCAAATCCCGGGATCTCACCTTCCCCCTCCTCCTGGAAGGCTCTGGGCTGGCTCACAGTGCTCAATCCCAATCCCAACCCCACAA